CTCGTTTCCCTCTCGTTTGTTCTACCGAATGCCTGCATCTGAGCCTGATCCGCCTGGTAGCACCAGGAACGGTCTCTCCGTTCTCGGTGTGTTACCTCGGCTGGCTGAAAACTATAGCGTCCCTATCTCTCAGCCTGCGCGTGAGCCATCCCCTGAATGTCTTGTCGGCACCGTTTTCCCGTGCGAGCGTTCGGCCTCGCCAAAGTCCCGGGAGCCACACCCGTCTCTCGAGCTTGTTCCCGATGGCGGCGAAGGCCCGTCGAAGCCGGCCACTGCAGCCCCGTCCACAATTAGCTCCGCGCCCGTGAAGCGACAGCGTGTCGGCGTGACATACAAGCAGCAGAGGCTCTGGGGCGCCCCTCCTCCACGACAAGCGGCATCACCGCCACGCCGTGCTGCTCCTGCTCAGCCGAAGCCTCCTACCGCTTCTGCAGAGGCTGAGTATGAGTTGGTAAAAACGACTTTCGATTCGCAATGGTCAAAGAAATTCAGTTGGTTGCGCTTAATGTGCATGACTAACGGCAGGCCTTCACTGAAATGTGCCATCTGCATCAAGCACGGGGATCCGAACGCGCACACTGCCTACGGCGTCAGAGGTGAGGGTGCGCGAGACATGCAGCTAGGGAGCATCCGCGCGCACACATCAAGCAGAGCCCACAAGCAGGCCTTGGACAACGAGGCCAAAGCAGACGCGGAGAAGGCGAAGCAAGCCACACTAACAAGGTGGCAGAGAACTGATGCAGCTACACGGCACATCATCCGTTGCCTCCACATCGCGCTGTTCATCTGCAAGGCTGACGCGCCAATAGCCATGTTTGTTCCCTTGTGCTGGTTTCTTGCTAAGGAAGGACTGCCGGACCTTCCACCGTCTGGAAGGTACGGCGCCTACTACACCGAGTAAGTGCGATTTCGTGGCGCTTGTGTTTGGGCCGCGACTCAAGCTGATCAGATGCTAATGCTACTTGTGTTCGTGTGCCATGTGTGTTGTCCTCGCAGCTACGGATTCAAAGAGATGCTGCGCGCAACCGCCACTTACCTTCAAGAGACTCAACGCGGCCACCTGCTGGAATCCCCATACATAGGGATTCTTCTGGATGAGAGCACCGACCGGGTGAATGGCAAGCACCTGATACTGTATGCGACGTTCTTCAAAGGGGTAACTCCGGTAACGGAGTTTTTAACTCTCATTACCGTGGACCGTGCCGATGCGGCCTCCCTAACCTCTGCTGTTGTGCAGTACCTTACAGGAATCGGGTTGGATCTCCAGAGGATTTCTGGGATATCTACAGACGGGGCGAGTGTCATGACCAGCAAGAACAACGGTCTAGTCGCGAGGCTGCGACTGCGCATACCACACCTGGCTTCAACTCACTGCGTCGCTCACAGGTACGCATGTTGGAGTCTGAGTGTTTTCCAGCACCGGATCAGTGACGCGCAAACCTTACTAACATGCTTATGTTGAATGCGCAGGGAGGCATTGGCTGCTAAGGATGCGGCGGAGGCAGTCCCCGAGCTCGGCATGGTGGACGACGTGGTGCGTGCCTTCTCCGAGCACATCGGCCGCAGCAGCGTGGACTACACCAAGTTTCAAAATCTCCAGCGCGTCTACTGCCAGACGAATCTGGAGGCGCATGGCATAAACGATGTGCGCTGGCTCTCCCGTGGCGAGGCGGTCCAGCGCTTCCTAGACGTTCTGCCTGCCGCCATCGTCATGCTGAAGGACTACAAGAAGGACTTGTACGAGGTAGTCACCTCGTTCAAGTTCCACTGGCTCATCCGCTTCCTCGCGGATGTGCTCTGGGAGCTCAACCAGCTAAATCTGCGCTTTCAGCAACGTCAGGTAACGTGCTAACAAGCACAGTTGTATCTACACGTACGCCCACAATGCTCTTTCTGACCGCATGTCTTTTGTGTGTGCAGGTGGACGTCACCCTCGTGGCGCACCTTGTACAACAGACGCGGATGCGCCTGAAGACGCGCTACTTCGACAGGTCCCCTGGTCACGTTTTTGGCAGCGGTGAGAAGATGCAGCTGCCTGACTTCATCAAGGCCCACCAGAAGATGGATAAGCGGCAGATGAAAGCGGAAGGCGTGGACGCGGACGGTAATGCCGTCTCCTTCGAATTCGCCCTGCACGAACGCCCCCTGCCAGGCCATGAGACAGAAGGTGATGTAACCGCCTGCTTCGAGCTTTCACTCAAGTTCATCCGCAAGGTGGACTCGGAGCTGGAGTGGCGCATGCGCGACCTCAGCCTCCTCGAAGGCGCCAAGCTGTTTCGTACGGCGTCGTATGTGTCCGACGACACACAGCGCCTGGAGTCCTTCAGGAAGTGGCTTGGCCAGCTCCACAAGCTGTACAACCACAAGCTGCCTGGTAAGCGTGTTTGTTAGAAGGGCGGGGTATTGGTCATTGACTTGCGTAAACAGCTTTGCACCAGCTTGTTTCCGATCGCGCTATTTGCTACTCATCACCCGGCCCAGTATTGTGGACTAATGCCTCCCAATCCTACCCGTATCTGTGAGCGTATGCCAATGATCATCCCCTTCCGCACTACCAGGGTTCGACTACAACCGTGCCGGCCAGGAGCTCTGGATGTTTACCTCGACCATGTTCTCCCAGCACAACGGCGAGGAGTTTCATCAGGCGCTGGGGAACATGCTGCGCGACGAGGCGTGGCGTGCGTCGTTCCCCAACATCGTCCGGATGTGGCAGTCTGTCGCCGTGCTACCACTTAGCACGGTTGAATGTGAGCGCGGCTTCAGCAAGCAGAACCTGATCAAGACGTTGTCGAAAGAGTAAGCATAAGGAGGAGCCATAGCTAGGAGAACCCTAGCTAGGCAAGAGAAAGTTTAGGCAAAGAGGAGGTTCACTAGCAGCAATGAGGATACATATAGCAAACCCTAGATGGGTTGTACTCGCTATAGAGCACCCCACTACAGGCTAGAGAATAACATTCTGACACACCCCCATAGCCAAAGTGGGGTGTAATCAGTACAATGAGCAAGCAGGTAGAAAGCAGGTTCACAAGTGCAAGCAAAGCTAGAGGCATTCACAAAGGGCAAGTGAGGAGGAGGAGGAACTGTGGAAGGAGTGAAGATGAGAGGCGACGGCTGAAGCTGCAGACACACGGGCAACAGGAGTCAAACTGGCACAGTGGCTACCGGAACAGCGCCCCGGACTACAGGAGTAACTGGCTCCGCGGCTAAGAAGAGCGGCAGACGAGCAACGGACCCACGGGCGACTGGCGCAGCTGGCTACGACTGGGCTACCGGAACAGCGCCCCGGACTACAGGTGCTGCTGACGACAAGACGGCAGCCTCCGCTCAACCTCCCCCGACCGTCCCACGCCCCTCTCACACACCCCCTGCTGACACCCTAGCTCCACTTCCACGGCACCCCCCTTAAACCCTAAACCTCGGCTCCCACACATCCACCCCCCTCAGCGGCAGCTGCAGCAGTGGGAGACGGAGGAGGAGGAGGAGCAGGGGACGGCGCACACACACGGCACCCCCAGAGCTGCCACCCCCACACTCCGCACCCCAAAACCCTAAAAACGGGCGGAACGGGGGAAGGAGCGCGGGGGACGGCGAGGGGGACGGCGCTCGGCCCCCAGAACGCGACCACGGGGCAGAGAGGGGCCGCGCGCGGCTCCCCAGGGCGGCGCGACGGGAAATCGGGGCCGCGGGGGGGTCGCGCGCGGCTCCCCAGGGCGGCACGACGGGAAATCGGGGCCGCGGGGGGTCGCGCGCGGCTCCCCAGGGCGGCACGACGGGAAATCGGGGCCGCGGGGGGTCGCGCGCGGCTCCCCAGGGCGGCACGACGGGAAATCGGGGCCGCGGGGGGTCGCGCGCGGCTCCCCAGGGCGGCACGACGGGAAAACGGGGCCGCGGGGGGTCGCGTGCGGCTCCCCAGGGCGACGGGATCGCGGGGCCGCGGGCGACGGGACCGGAGGGCCGCGGGCGACGGGATCGGGGGGCCGCGGGCGTCCCCCACGGTAGGAAACCGCCGTGCGCCTCGGTGCGCACGGCGGGGAGAAAACCGCCGCACGCCCCGAGCGCGCGGCGGGATGAAAATGTGAAGGTCGCGCGCCACGGGGCGCGCGACACTGAGTAGGGCAGCGGAAGCAGCAGTGGGGCCCACAGGCCAGGAGCGTGAAGGCTCTGATACCATGTCGAAAGAGTAAGCATAAGGAGGAGCCATAGCTAGGAGAACCCTAGCTAGGCAAGAGAAAGTTTAGGCAAAGAGGAGGTTCACTAGCAGCAATGAGGATACATATAGCAAACCCTAGATGGGTTGTACTCGCTATAGAGCACCCCACTACAGGCTAGAGAATAACATTCTGACAGACGTGGGACCGCGGCAGCCTCGGCGACACAAGCCTTGAGCACCTGATGCGGTGCTCCCTCCTGCAGTACGACATTGACTGGTACGAGGTGGTCGCCATATCCGCAGGGAGGAGCTCAGGCGATCCACCAAAGACTTCTCCGGCATGAAGGCCAGCAGTGCGCAGTTTACAGACGAGGCAGTTGCTAGTGCAGCAGATGTTGATTGACCAGTGTGTTGTGTAGCTTGGTTCGTTTAACTTGGTTGGTAGTAAAGCTTGTAGGATCAGTGCAGAACACTTTAGTGACTAACTGTTGCAGAAGTTAAAACTTATGTTTAGGAAGGAAACAGTGTATGCCATGTACTACCCTGCCTAAATCAGTGTACCTGAACTTTTAGGCTGCTACAATCAGTGTACTCGAAACTTTACCCTACCAGTTAGGGCACGGAGGGGATGCCACCCTGATTTGAAAGAGTGAGCTAAAACCTATTTCGGGCCCTGCTTGGGAGCATGGATGAGTACAAGTAGGGCAATGTTTAACTCTAAAGTGTTGTACTCAATAGAGGTTACCCCACTATAGCCTACAACATAAAACATAGTTTGATAACCCTTAGTGTCAACTGTGGTCTGCAATATATCAACACATGCAATAAACACGTGCAATAAAAGCGGCCATTATGTATCAACATTGTCCAGCCCTTCCCCTGGCACCACAAGTGCGTCAACTTCCTCTCCACCACCCACTGCTTCTGGTGTGTTTAGACCCTGTTCAGCGTGCAGTGCTGCAGAGTCCAGGGCACCTTCCTCCAGTAGCTGTGAGCGCATGGCATGGCGCCGTCGGTGCTGGTGGCGCCAGAGAAGCAACAGTGGCACCATGAGGGCGAGAAATACCAGTGCCCCAGCCCCGCCTATCGCCCCTGCCACCACACCCGTGCGACTGGAACGCGGACGAGCAGGTTCAGGGGCGGCTTGCGACCCTGTGGTCTTCTGCTGTGCTTGAAGCTCTGCACCCATGTCATTTTTGGATGATGTTGCAAGAAAGACAGCAAAAGGGGGGTGAGGGGAGAGTTTGTGCATTGCAAGAGAGCACAAGTAACAGCGGGGTAACGACACCGAAAGGCAGAGAGTGTGAGAGAGGGAGAGGAGATAACAACTGCGAGATCAAGGGGGTAAACAAGAGGAGGTTGAACTATCTGAGACGAGTGACCCGAGCCATCTTTTACCCGCGACGCAGCTTATCCGGTCGGCTTTTACCTGAGATGCAGCTTACCGGAGACGACGTTTTCGCGGGGGACGTTGGCGCGCACGACTTCAATGACCTCGATGCTGGTGATGAGGGGGCTGAGCTTGCTGCCATTGCACGCCACCAGTTGCACCTCCAGCGTGGGCGCCGACCCAATGGCGGGCCGGCTGAACCCCACCACCACGGGCAGCGTCACCAGGCGGTTGTGCTGCCCGTGGGTTTCACGCAGGATGTCAAAGGCGCTCACAGTCACGCCGTTCACGTGGATGTCAAACACGCGCTCGCCCACGCGCGACCCCGGCTGCACCGCCACAAAGTGCAGCAGCACCATCCACCGGTTCAGCCGCGCCGGCACGCGGATCGAAAACGAGTAGTGCAGCCCACTCGCCAGCACCGCCTCTCGCGCCGTCTGCAGCAGCGGCTGCGCCAGGAACAGCGGCGCCTCACCCGCCCCGCTCACGGGCAAGGCAGTGTGAAGAGACTTTGGGGGCGTCACCGCAAATCGGGTTGCAGTCTTCATGGATTGGTGCAGGCCATTGGGTGCAGCGTGGTCATGGTTGAGAGCGATCTGTGAGAGGTCGCTCACCCAGCGCCTGCCCACTGCGTCCATGAACCCGCGCCTGTCTGGCGCCACGGCCAGCACGGATGCTGCAAGCGACTCGTTGAACAGCTCAAACCCCCTCGCCGTGCCATTGCTCTCACCACCCCAAACGTCCCCACTCACTCTCCCCTTTGTCGTTGAAGGCGACACGGCCGTTCCCGCGCCCTCAGTCAATGCTTGGCTAGGTGGCTCATTGCTGCCTGAGTAGTTCCGGGCGGCACGGCCGCAGTCAATGCGCGCGCGCACGGCGAGGAAGGCGTTGGGGGGGACAACTTGCGGGAGGAGGTAGAAGGGGGGGGGCACGGGGAGGATCTCGATGGAGTTGACGAGGGCGTGGCCCCACACGGGCAGGAAGCAGAGCGTGAGCGAGGCGTCCGCGCTGTCCACGATGTACTCCGCCTCGTACACCGCGCCCACGTGCCCGCCCATGCTCACCGTCTCCATCTGCACGCCCTCCACCAGCACCGCAAACCGCGGCCACCGCGCCTTGTGTTTGTCCTTGGGAGTCCTGCCCGCGGGGCTGCTGTCACGACGGCTCTGCACAGCATCGCCTTGGCCCACGCGGTCGCCGTCCAGTGGTGAAGCAGAGACGCCGCTGCCATGCGCATCAGCGGCAATAGCATGCGGGGTGGCAGCACCAGCGCGAGCACTGGGAGCGGTGGTGGTTTGGCGGGGCGCATAGGAATCTGTGGAGCGGCGACCGAGGGCATCTGGAGCACCGGAGGCGGAGAGGGAGGAGGTGGTGACGCCGTCGTCGCTGTGCACCTCGAGCGGCGGGTTCAAGTCCCTCTGCGCACTCGGCAGCGTGTCGCTGTGGTACGCGAAGGCCAGGCGCACAATGAAGCGGGCAGGGGCGAGCGGGATGTCGTAGCAGCTGACGTCGTTGGCGCGGAAGACGCGCTGCCAGCGTAGCTCCGCAGTGAGGGCGAGCGGCATGGACGGCAGCACAGACGCCGGCTGCCCGCCCACGTAGAAAGCGTCCGCCTCCCACACCCGCCCGTCCCTCCCCACCACCCGCTCGCGGCTGCCACAGTTTATCCGCACCACAGATGCTGGGCGAGAGGAAAGGGGAGGGGAAGGAAGGGGTGGTTTTGGAGAGGGGGAAGTGGGGAACGCGACGAACGCCAGAAAACATGCGAACGAACGTGGGGTAACTGTGACGGGCAGCAATGAATTCGCGGACAGGACCATTCTTACCAGACGGTGCAGCGGGTGCTGCTGAAACTGCGACAAGGCGATGTAGCAAGGCTAGAAGGAGAGCGGCGAGCGACAGGCGCGGCATGACGCCACGCCATCTCTCCACCATCCATCTGCTTCCGCTGCCACCCGCCCCGCGCCACCACTGCTGACGCTGCCTTGCTCCTCGCGTCGATTTTAATTTGGGTATGAATGGGCCATGGCGCAATGCCGCCGTGCTGTGGCATGGCCGTGCGGCCATGTGGGCCTTCACGCGTGCACACAGCCGACACGACGAGCAGGGGAGCGAGTGGTCGCGCGGACAGTGAGAGGGTGCCTGCACCCACGTGAAAACGACGGCAGCGAGGCGCACGGAGAGTGAGGACGCTAAGCACGCACGAGAATGAGAGCGACAGAGCAAGTGGGAAGGAGCCAGTCACGATGTCGGCGGACTGCGCCACGGTCCAATCATACACCGCGCGTCGCGAGATTCTTATGCGCCCATCCCCGTGTATGGATTCACCTCTCGCGACGTCTCGCATTGAACCGCACTCGCCACGTTTGGTGGAACTGTTCGCGCCGTTAGTTGCGCCGCTGGCAGCCTGAGAGGCACGAGGACGGGATTTTGAACGGGGGAGGAGAGGATGGGAATACCAAAGCGAGGCGACGGATTGCAAAACTGTATTCGGCATAGAAGAGGTCACCGGAAAGGGAAAGAGCCCGGGAGAGCCGCAAAAGTAGTAAATTCTGTATCGCTGCGAGCTACACGCGACTCTTTGGGGCTCCCTGTTGGCTGCATTGCGTTGTCTCTACTGCGTGCGAATAACAGGAAGTGGTTGCTTCTAAAAAGTTGTCGACAGTGTGGAACAAGAAAAGGGTAGCGTGGAAAGTAGCCGCTACTAAGCGTTTCATGAAAGTCTGGAGCGCAAGGGGGAGCTAAAGGCGTTTGGAAAATAAGGGTTAAAGTCAGCGCACCTGCTGCAACGTGCTGATAAGTCGAAGTCGATACCTAGCTCATTCATGGTTGCCGCGAATATTGCTCGTCATTACACAAATTTAGTTATTGAGATTGAACTACGTTAGGGTTTGGAGTGAGCGTGAGGCAAATGGCAGGTACTGTATCGCTATCGTGGAAGTGAAACAAACCGCGCAGCAGTAGGTGGTGTAGGGATGTTTGATAGGCATAGGTGAAAGGTGAACCCTCTGCCCTCTCCTCCCGCAAGGCCAGTCCTCTTGAAGGCGTTTTACCCGCCTTAGCCTGAAAAGAATGGCGGTTCTTGGAAACCTGGAAAATCTGACACTGGAAAATCATATTTCGACAGGTCATATCTAGGTCGGTGTTTCCGTACGCGGCTGCATCTGGGTTATACGGATGGTTCGTAAAAGAAATCCACATTTTACATTTCTACAGCCCGAGATTCCACATTTCTCTGTACACCGGCTTTTCTTGCAATGCCACCGTGTGTTTGTGATTGAAAGGTCTGGTTCCCTATCGTGGATTGAAAAGCCTGGAGGGCCCACACCACCCTCGTGTGTTTCCCGCCCTCCGAAATCGGGGGTTTGGTTAGGGGAAGTGAGGGGGAACTTGTTTATCGTTTTCTGCTGGAAAGTACCTGTCATCGGTGTACACCTGTAATGGCCACCAAGATTGGCCACCAAGCCTACTCTAATGGGCAAACGTGAAGACTGCACATATATACGAAAACAACAACACATTCAAAAGCAAGACAGAACGAGACGGAACAGTTCCAACAGAATTGGAGTGGGAAAATAACAGTTCTAACGAATCTATCCGTGTTGTAGTTCATCGTGGTGTTGCGGGCAGATCGTGGAAGGGAAAGCTGCCCTGGAACTGTTCGCCTGACAACACTGTTTGTCCTCGATAGTGGCTACCAAACTTCTGCACGCGCCACTACGATTCAATCCAGCGATATAGCTAGGATTCTGGGGGGCTAGGACGATTTGGGTGAATGTAGGAAATACCCTGTAAAATCAGAGCTCTGCTTAGAATTCCCCAATGCTTGAAGGTCCATTAAAAAAAAAAAAAACTGGACAAAAACAGCCCCCCTGCAAAAATTGCCCTTTCTCAAACTATATGGAAACACACTATGGTCTTATGAGACTAACATGTTTCTAATAAAAACACTCCACAAGGAATCCTAGTGGAAACGTGTTCACACATGGTAACAAAAACATTTAAAGCAATAAACCAATCTAGGAGTCATCCTCCACACAGCTTGCTGGCCGCTTCATCTTTTCACCATTCTGAATCTAATAGACCCTGTCCCAATCCACATCATAGTTAAGCATCTTCACAGCCATCAGCTTTGCCAATTTCACACCCGACAACGAAGTACGATCCCAACTGTTTATAACATTTTTCCTTGGAAATCCTCTTTCGCACTCGACAGTGCTGAGAGGAAGTACTGCAACCGCTCTCCATAGATGCACAAGTGTGGGAAAGTTTGTGTCTAGTCGTTGGTCTCAATGATGTTGTACAGGCTTTGGCTAAAGCCTTCATTCAGGTGCCGCTTCAGCAACGTGCTCGTCAATATACCAATGTCTGCATCATATGCATCTCTTGTGATACCTGCCAACAGTAGGGTTATGATGACAAAGAGGAAAATGAAAACAGGCGTAGGGTGATAGAGCTGCAAAATACGATTAGCATGAGCAAAATGTAACATTCAATAATTGTTGATTTACCTGGCGGCTTATTGTCAAAGAGCTCGAGGAGTTTATCCAGGTTATCCGACCAGTACTCCCCCCTTTTTCCCATGTTTTGCAATGGGTAAGTATGAGGGCAGAAGAGTGAGGCCCCTTCCGCCCTTTTCAGTTCACCCAACCTCGTTCCTAGGGCCGCAATCAATCTTTGGGCTAGTTCTGTCACTAGGGCAAAGCATTCCTCGAGTGAAGTACCGTACGAATGATCCTCTCCAATCGGATCAATAACTTACGGTGCGTTCCTGGAACTTTATGTTGAGTCCGTTGAGGAGGTAAAGCATAAAGTAGGTATAGCATAAAGTGATACTTAAAGGTAGACGCGACCCGGAACAGCTTGGTGTCCTCCGCCTTCCAAATCCACAACCAAATTGGGAAGACATTGGGGCAACCATCGAATGGCGATCATCCCCAGCACCTCAAGATCGGTGTTTCAGATAGCATACTGCAACTGCAGGAAGTGTTCTCGACACACATTGGAGCGACCAAGGTTTTATGCTGTCGTTTTGATGATGTGGTCAACAACGGCAAAGTCTGGCACTTTTGTTGCTGCGTCCTTTGCAGCAAGTGCCTTCCTGAGGATGGGGGGGCAGTGGTGTTACAACAATGGAGCAGCAAAATTAAATTAATGAAAACTCTCTAAGTGGTTGGCGGGAAAGGTAGATACTATACACTAAGCTGAATAGAGATTGGTCGTGATGTTAATCAAGGTAATCAGTAAGATGGATAACTACTAGTAAATTCATGGCTATTTGCAAACCTCACATGTAAGGAATGGAGTGGAAAGACATGAGCCATGTGCAGAGTTCGCGTAAGAGCTAGATGGGCAAGGAACTCGGTGGTAACGGTATGTGAACGCTTGAAAGTGCAGTACACTATGGGATGTTGAGCTCTGTCTGTACTCCCATCAAGGGAGAGTCCAAACCATGAACATGACTTGATGCGCTCAGGTTGTTGCTCGTGCAGGTGGATTGCTAGAGCATGAAGGAACTCCCCTCCTGCCCATCGGAACACATCCAAAAGAAGCAAAGTTAGAAGTAATGGAAATACACACAATCTGAATCAACTCAAGAAACCACAAACACAAACATTATCGAAATATTTGATTTATAACACTTACGTTGTAAAGTAGGTCCCATTTATTTTCAGCCTTGGGCATGCATATGAGCCCTGGCTCCATCATCCACAGGGCCACGACGGGATACATGTTGATCGGGATATTATTCTGTCCAATAAAGTAAGCGGTCCGCATGTAAAGAATTACTCTGCGAACCTACCTAGAGCATGCTAGGAGCAGTCACAACGTCATTTGTTCTCCTATTGTTGCTTATGTGTAGCCTCCCTCTCTACTACTTGCTTATGAGTGATGCTGTAATGATGGCCTTGAACACACGAGCTTCGAATGTCACGTGCGCCAACGCCTGTCTGTCCAAAACGTGTGTTGAGTTTATCAGCAACCCATTTCTCACAAACATTGCACTTTATGACGTACTTCACGAGCATTTTGTCCAGCTCCAGCCGAAGCCAAGGATACTTAAAAACTTATTCGTAATTGAATTTAGCTTTCAACCTTCGCTGAAATTGACGGTTTAGCAGCTGCTCATTCTCATCGCTCGTTTGTGGTCGTGACGGCTTCACCATCTGGGCTTGCTGCGACGATGTTTTTATCGATTGGTTTGGGAGCAGAGGGTTCTCCAATCGGTTTGGTGTCAAACATTATATATGTTGCGTTTGTTAGGCTACAGTGGGTTAGTCTATATGGGGTACACAATTCTAGGGTTTGCTATTTGTACTGATCTCTCTGTTAGTTCAATCATTCCAGTCCGTTCATTCTGACATGGTTTCAGAGCAGGTCCTTCGCTAGGACCTAACTTCTCTTCGGGCCCACCACTACCTACTACCTACTACCTACTAGCGCCCTCGTGCGCCCTACTATCGGAGTGCGCTTTAGCGCCTCCCCCCCTTAGCGCCCTCGAGCGCTTCCTTTTTTTTTTCCCGGCCCCGCGGCCCCGTCGCGTCCCGCTTAGAGGCCCCGCGGCCCCGTCGCGCTTCGCCTAACGGCCTCGCGGCCCCGTCGTGCCTCGCCTAGTGGCCCCGCGGCCTCGTCGAACCCACGCGCGCCCCGCTTACGGCCCCGTCGACCCCGCGCGCACCCCGTCTAGAGGCCCCGCGGCCCCGTCGCCCGCCACCACACGGCCCCTCGACCCCGCTGCGCCCCGCTTAGCGGGCCCACGGCCCCGTCGATCGCGCCCCGCTTAGAGGCCCCGCGGCCCCGTCGCCCGCCACCACACGGCCCCTCGACCCCGCTGCGCCCCGCTTAGCGGCCCCACGGCCCCGTCGAGCCCCGCTTAGAGGCCCCCGCGACCCCGTCCCGCCCCTCTTAGCGGCTCCGCGCAGCCGCGCAGCCCGAACCGAGCCGCGCCGCCCTACCTGAACCGAGCCGCGTCGACCGTTCTAGCAGCCCTGTTGATCCTACTGCTACTCCTACTGCTCCTACTGCTACTACTGCTGCCACTATGGCCAGTCCTCCCGTACTTGCTTTCGATGCCGAGGGCCGTCCAGTGAAGTTCGAAACCTGGCTCGATGACCTGCACCTGTTCCTACAGCTCACTGCCAAGGAAGATATCTCACTGTACGACCACGCCCTAGGCCATGCCACTGCCCCTGACTCGACTGCTGACAGCACTCTGCGTTCCCAGTGGCAGACCCGTGATGCGCACACTCGCTTTGCTATTCGCAACTCCCTGCCGCTAGACGAGCGCGAGCACTTCGGGCAGTGCAAGACTGCTAAGGACCTCTACACCGCTGTAGTTGCCCGCTACTCCTCACCCGCTTCTGCCACGTTAGGCCGCCTCACTCTCCCCTACCTGTTCCCCGACCT